TTACTTGAACACAAGCACTGCAATGCTGGGGCAGTAGATCTGATAACTGAGTTGGTTACTGAGTGACGGGGAGTGTATAGAGAGAAGATCCGCTGGACAAAGAGATGATTTATGCCTTGGACAGGATAAAGTGGGGGAGGTGGGGAGAAGGTGGGCATGAGATTTCAACATGCGATTCAGAATGGCACACACAATTTAAAACTTATGCATTGCTTAGTTATAGAATTTTTTACATAATATTTGCAGACCATGGTTGACCATGGGTAACTGAACAACTGAAACCCCAGAATGAGAAATTGTAGATAAGGGGAGGGACTACTGTGTGAGTAGTTCCTGTCATTAAATAATAGAACAGTCAGATGGAAAATTAGCAAGGATAGTACATAACTGAATAAGATAATTAGAAAACTTGACATACATGGAACACTATTCACAAAATCTGGAGATTTCATATTCTTTTTAAAGTAAGTACACAGGATATTTATGATATATCACTATAAATTGAGCTATAAAGTACATTTCAATATATTTAAATGCTTATAGAGTACATTCTTTGGCCAGAGTGATACTAAACAAGAAGCAAATAAGAAAAGAAATATTTACAATTCTCATTATTTTTTGTAAATTAAGAAGTACAATTATAAGTAATGCATGAGTTAAAACAGAAATCAATGGAAATGTGCAAATATTTTGAACTAAATGAAAAACAAAATGCTGCATATTTAAACATAGAGGGAAAAAAAGTACAGCCCTAAATGTATGTGTTACAAAAGAAAATAGACTAAACACTGATAAGCTAAGAATACATAACAAGAAATTAGGGAAAACATCAAATTATGTCCAAAGAAAATAGAAGAAAATTTTAAAAATGGAAATTAACTTGAATAGACAAGGCATACAACAGCAAGGACCAATTAAGCTTTATGATAGCTCTTTTAAGAAACTAATAAAATTTATAACTGCTACTATAGTACTCAGGTAAGAATAAAGGTAGAACAAATAATAATAGGAATATAAAATAAGATATTAATACAGATACTATAGAAATTAACAGTATTCTAGTAGGATACTGTGAACAACTTTATGCCAATAAATTTGAAAATTTAGATGAAATGGACAAATTCCTAAAAAAATTTAGCTTACCAAAATTGGTACAAGAAGAAATAGAGAATTAGAAGAGATTTCTAATAACTAAAGATACTGATTCTGTGATTATAAACCAGAAAAAGAACTCCAGCCCAGATAGTTTTAATGGCTAATTCTAATAAATATTAAAGAAGAAATAACATCAGTTTTGCACAAACTCTTGCAGAGAACAGAAGAAACGATCCAAATAATTTCATGAAACTGGTATATCTAGGTATCAAAGCCTAACAATGACATTAAAAATATTACGGGCCAATTTTTAAAATAAACATTGATGTTGAATTTCTAAGCAACGTATAGTCAGATTGAAACTAGGTTTATATGAAAAGTATATAATGACCAATTGGATTTATTATAGGAATGTAAGTTCAGTTTAGGATTTACAAAAATCAGTGTAATTGACCACATTAGAAAAAAAGAGGAAAATTATCTGGCAACATGTAATATATACTAACAATAAAAACCCTTAAACTGGGAATGGAAGAAAATATGCTAATAAGGATATCTTCAAAAATCTACAAAAGTATAATTAATGAAGAATATTAAAAAATTTCCCTTTGAGATCAAGAACAAGATAAGGGTTTTTACTGTCATCACTTCTGTTGAATATTGTTCTAAATGTTCTAGCCAGTGCAATAAGGTTCAAAAAAGGCATAAAGATTGGAAAGAGGAAGTAAAACTATCATCATTTGAAGATAATTATATAACTAAAAAACCTAAAAGAAAATATGGATACATTATTATAATTAAAATAAGTTATTTTATAAGTGGTTAATCTCTATATAGTAGAAAAATATAGATTATATATGAAATCACAGAAATATACAGTAAGAAAATAATTTGAAAGGTAACATTTATAATAAAATAAAAAACATTGAATATGAATAAATCATATAAAGTATTGTAATATCTCTATGATTCTATGAAACATTAAGAGAAATAAAGGATCTAAAAAGTGGAGCATTTATTATTCGTAAAATTCAGTATATTTAAGGTATTGGTTATTTTCAAACCAATTTACAGAATCAGTGAACTCCCAATCAAAATCAAGTTTTTTTTCTGTTTTTGTTTTTGTTTTTTCCCGTTTGGAACAAGCTGATCCTAAAATGAAATGTAAATGTAAAAGGCAAGACTAAAGTAGGGGGGTGAAACCATCCTAGAGTTTCTGGCTAGCTCTGAATAAACTGATAAAGACAGAGTAAGAGGAGAAAGCATACACATTTATTTAATCAAAGTTCTACACAGCACAGAAGCCTTCAGAAATGAAGATCCAAAGATGCAGGGAAAACTGTCCCTTTTTATGCTTAGGTTTGATGAGAATGCACAGCTGATTAGAAATGTGATTGGACAAAAGGGTATGGTTTAATGGCAATAGATGGGGGGCAAGGGCATCCAGCAAGGTCTGTTCAGGTTCTGTTTATGGTTGGCTTTGGGGAAGAAGAGTTGTAGTTTATGGCCTGCCGTAGGGAACATGGGAGCACCGGAGAAAGAAGGGTGGGAGAAGGTCAGAAGAAGGCTACTGTGGCTGTTTTGATTTCCTTCATTTTGAAGTACTCAGCATGCCAAGGCACTATACTTTGGAGGTATCATGTTCTGAGCCTTGGTACTAGGCAATGGTAATGAAGAAACACAATATGGGAGAACTTGATCTCGCTGATATCAGATATATTGCAAAGCTACAGTGATTGTGACAATGTAGTATTTAATTCAGAATAACAAGTAAATAGAATAGAACTGAAAACCCGGAAACAGACATAGGCACTTGATTTATGGCTAAGGTAGAATTACAGAACTGAGGGAATGGAGGGCTCATCAACAAATGGCATCGTGACAATTGGTTACTCATCTAGGAAAAATATATAGGTCCGTTTTTAAACTATATACAACAATCATTTTCACATAGATTATAAAACCAAATGTAAAGGACAAAAGAATAAAACTTCTAGGAAAGAATTTGGGTGCATATCATTATGACCTTCTACCCAGGCTGGAGGGCAGTGGTGTGATCTTGGCTCACTGCAGATTCTGCCTCTCGGATTCAAGCAATAGTTTCACTTCCATCTCCTGAGCAGCTAGGATCACAAGTGTGCACCATCATGCTCGGCTAGTTTTTAATTTTTTTTTTTTGGTAGAGACAAGGTCTCACTATATTGCCCAGGCTGGTCTCAGACTCCTGGGCTCATGTGATCCTCCTGCCTTGGCCTCCCAAAGTGCTGGGATTACAAGCACGAGTCACTGTGCCTGGCCAGAAATACGTCTTAAACATGGCATTGCTTATGTACTAATCATAAAAACAATTTTAAAATTCAAAATTCAAATTTGAATTTTTGTGTATTAAAAAACACAAGACAGTCAAAATATGAAAGAGTGGGAGAAGCTTTTTGGCACACACAAAACTGACAAGGGGCTCATGTCCAGAATATCTAAACTACACATCAATGAAGACCCCTGCCCATTAGAAAAATGGGCAAGAACAGGCATAGCACAAAAGGAGATATCCAAATGCCATTGTGATACATTTGAAAAGTTGTTCAACCTCATTAGTCACCACAGAAAAGCAAATTAAGCCACAAAGTGATACCAATTGAGACCCAACAGAAAGGTCAAAATGGAAAAGACAGACAATATTGAGGGTTAGTGAATCTATGGAATGAGGGGAACACATACATTTTTGGAGGAGTATTAAGTCAATCATTTTGACAAATAGTTTGACATTTTCTGCTAAAGTCAAGAACAGGTAAAGTATGAGTTCTATGGTGAGTTGAGTCAGCATTGTTGGAGCCAGCTCCGAGCAGCTTATGAAAGCAATTGTTAAAAGGGCTTCTGTGAGCTGCTTCTTTATTACATTATTGGTAGCTGGAAATTGGCCATGTTTGGAGTATTAACATCACAGATGTTAGCAGAGGCTAATCAAGACTTTCTTTATCAGAGAGCTGGTTTCAAATACATCACTGGGTTTGGCCCAACAATTTCAATCCTGGTTAGCATATTCAACAAAAATGTGTTCTCTTGTACATGTAAAATAATGTTCATAGCACCCCAAACTGTAAACAGCCAAAAGTCTATCAGTAGAATGAATAAATGAATTGTGGTCTGGTCACACAAGAGGCCATTATTTACCCATAAAAATGAGTGATCTACAGCTTTATGCAATGACATCGATGAAAATCACACACAAATTGCTGAATGAGAGAAGCTGAACATAAAATGCTGTCTTTTCATGCTCTTAGCAGTGTCTTTTGAATCGCAGAAATTTTAAATTCAATTAATTCTTTGTACAATATCAAAAAATTAACTCAAAGTGGATAATAGACCTAAGCGTAAAGACAAAAACTATAAAACATCCAGAAGATAATGTAAGAGGAAATCACTGTGACTAGATGAGACAAAAATTGCACAGATCTGATATCAAAAGTAAGATTCATAAAGAAAAAAAAATTAAGTGTACACTTCTGTTATCATTGGAGGGTCTTGACTACAAGTCATCCAGTTTCTTGGCATTTTGAACAAATGACAAAGTGCACAAAGCAACAAAAGAATGAAATAATGAAAGCACAGATTTATTGAAATGAAAGTACACTCCACAGAATGGTTTGAAGCAAGCAGCTCAGGAGTACTAATTACAGAATTTTCCAGAGTTTAAATATTCTCTAGATGTTTCCCATTGGTTACTTGGTTTACACCCTATGTAAATGAAGTAATGGTCCACAACCAGTCTGATTGGTCACAGAAGGCAACCAATCAGAGGCTGAAGTAAAGTTACAAAGTTACACCCTATGCAAATGTCTGCTTGGTTGTGGGAGTGGACCAATCAGAAGTACTTTCCATTTCTCTTCTACAATGCAGAAAGTTGCGAGGGTAGGGGTTGCCAAGGGAGTAGCCTCTGTTCTTTTGTTACTTAGGTGTGAAAAGTTTTTCCTTTTGATTTAGTTCTAGAAGTCAGTGAGAATCTGCCTTAGGTTCCCTGCCTCCAGATCCTATTCTCCTGCCTCAGTTCTATTTAAAGTAAGTTTTTGTGTTCTTACCAAGAGTCAGCTGTACTTTTCCCTCACTTGTTCATGTTGCTTGACATTGATTTATAATTTGAAATTATTGTTGAATTTTATATTATTTAAAATAGTGAAATATGCATGTGGAAAGAGAGGCATTTCTATAGAAACTAAGTTGAAGGCATCAGAAAGATGGAATAAAGATTGATTGCTGAGAGAATCATGCTGTTGAATTGAACATGAGTAGATAATTGCAACAGATTGAAAGACATAAGCATTGAGAAATACTTGACTCTCAGATTTTAAAAGCCCTTGATAAACAATAATGCATTGGAAATCATTGCAGATGCATTATGGGTGTGGTTTATGCAAGAAAGTGAATATGGAACACCTATCAATGAACTAATTTTGAAAATAAAAGGGTTGATTTCTTTATCAAAGATTGCTAAATAATTTTGCATTTACATGGATTACGTTAAAGTTTTTAAGGTATTAGGAGCAATTTGAACTTTAACTTTTTTACTAACTCATTTACTTCTATCCCAATAGCTCAGCTGGGAGGGCATCTATGTACTAAATTAAGGCTATATACCTTTTTATTCTACCCTGTATACCCTTTATATTAGTAAGATATATTTTAGCAGTATTTTCATTTTCCTTGTTATTTTATTTTATATTACATAGATATTTAATGTCTATGGAGCTGAATCTTTCAGTCTTTTCCTTTATAGTTTATTTTTATTACCTCAGCTTACTAAGTTATTAATATGCAATATTGATAAATATCCAAGATTGTTCTCAACAGCTTTTATATATTTCAGTTTAAGAAATTTTATTATTTAATAGATATGGAGTTTATTTGGTGACCTAGTCTTAAAAATTGCTTATCAGTCTATTTTGATATCATTTATTGATTGTTTTCCTAACCCATTTTTGTGTATACTTGAATTCATATATTTTTTTTTGAGATGGAGTTTCACTCTTGTTACCCAGGCTGGAGTGCAATGGTGCGATCTCAGCTCACCTCAACCTCCGCCTCCTGGGTTCAAGCAATTCTCCTGCCTCAGCCTCCTGAGTAACTGGGACTACAGGCTTGCGCCACCATGCTCAGCTAATTTTTGTATTTTTAGTAGAGACGGGGTTTCACCATGTTGACCAGGATGGTCTCAATCTCTTGACCTTGTGATCCACCCGCCTTGATCTCCCAAAATGCTGGGATTATAGGCGTGAGCACAGCACCTGGCCTTGACTGCATATTTTAAAATGTTTTAAATCTTTAAAATTTTTTTAAAAATGTTCCATTAAGAATCTGGGTAGGCTGGGTATGGTGGTTCATGCCTTTTGGGAGCACTTTGATTGCTTGAGGCCAGGAGTTCAAGACCAGCCCGGACAACGTAGCATGACCTTGTCTCTACAAAGAATAAAAATAAAATTTAAAATTAGCCAGCACCTGTAGTCCTAGCTACTTGTGAGGCTGAGACAGGAGAGTCATTTGAGCCCATAAATTTGAGGCTGCAGTGAACTATGATTGTGCCACTGCACTCCAGCCTAGGTGATAGCATAAGACCATGTCTCTACAAAACAAACAGAATCTAGATTAATTATCTTTTTCCTTATTTTTTAAAAAAGAAAAGAAAGACAAGTTGCACCAAATTACAAACTATTCTTGTATGTAGTGATTCTCAACTAGGAGTAGTTTGTCCTCTAGAGGATATTTGGCAATGTCTGGAGATAATTTTGGTTGTTAAAACTTAGAGAGTACCTTTGATATCTAGAAAATAGAGGTCAGAGATGCCGCTAAACATCCTACAATACACAGAGCAGCCCCTGACAACAAATAATTATCTGGCCAAAAATGTCAATAGTGCTAGGGAAAACAATACCCACAAAAAATCCTTGTAAAAAACTAAACTAATAAAATACCTTGAGAAAGCTAGAGATACAAAAAACAAAACAGAAACTCAGACTTAATGTTTAAAGCCAGAAGGCACACATGAGTTTCCTCTGGGAAAGAAGAGAAATACTGTATACAGCATTGTTATGAGATAATTATACACATTTAGAAAACGAATGTAGTTACGTGCACTAAACTGCCCTCTACAATCTTTCACTTAAAAGGTCTGTGGGGTTTTAAGAGGATCTTGCTGGGAGCAAATTGACATATTGATTGAGTAAAATAGTCTTTGGGGAAATTTCTCAGATGTTTGATATAAATGGTGGTTCCCAGGGTATGGGAAATATCTTGCAAGGTTTTCTTCAAGTGGAAGTCGAGCCTCAATATGTCAGTGATCCACTCACAGCTGCATAATCCATGCTTTTCCTTCTCTGCCACACAGAAAAGTAATTCTTAACACTTGCTTTGCTTAATAAGCATTTGAGTTACCAGATTTCACAAATAAAAATCCAGATGCCAGGTTAAATTTGATATGTATACTAAAAATGTATTTGTTGTTTATCTGAGATTCAGAATTAACTGGCCATCCTATATTTTATCTAGCAACCTTAATATGCATTTTAATTACCTTTAATTAGTTTTAACACACAGAGGAATACTTTTATATATTAACATTTTCCAGCATCTTTGAGGTGTCTTTATTCAAAGTAAAGTCTCAATTCATCTTCTACTCCTTAATCTGTCCTCTTCCTACCCCACAAATTCCATGTAATTATCACAAAATAAAAACCCCAGACCCACTATTTAAATATTGGTGTTTTTGGCAAAGACTCTAATTTGAAATATACCCCAAATTTGAATTTTTAGGTAAAAATAATATTTCCCTGTGGGAAGGATGAGCTCAGCTGTGGTGTTAGAACAGTGAGATGTGTTACAGACAAAAAAATACAAAGCAACAACAACAGAAACTACTATCCATGAAAGCTCATAGAGAAAAAGAAAGGAGGAGGGAACCAAACCTTTCTCTGCAGGCCTGCCACTTGACAGGGAACACTGTTTCTCAAAATTCTCTTTGTACTACTTTCTTTTCTCAGAATCAAGTAAGACATTTAAATAGGAATTTCTGAGCCTGAATCAGAATCTACATTTTTTAGCAGGCACTCTAGGTGAATCTTAATGCACAGTGAAGTTTAAATACTACTAGGCTAGGATTTTTCTGCTACGCGGTTTTGCACATACTGACAGTTTTGAGAGGTATTAAAAACGAGTAGTTTCTTTAGCTTTAGACTTCATTTGGAAATATGGTTGTTGCTTCTTTTATTTTGTTGAGACACAGTCTTGCTCTGTTGCCCAGGCTGGAGTAGAGTGGTGCAATCTCAGCTCACTGCACCCTCCACCTCCTGAATTCAAGCAATTCTCCTGCCTCACTCTCCCAAGTACCTGGGACTACAGGCACCCACCACGCCCAGCTAATTTTTGTATTTTTAGTAGAGACGGGGTTTCGCCAAATTGGTCAGGTTGGTCTCACACTGCTGACCTCAGATGATCCACCCACCTCAGGCTCACAGAGTGCCGGAATTACAGGCATGAGTCACTGCGCCTGGCCTGGTTAGTTACTTCTTAAACCATGTCTATGCATTCCCATTTCTTCTCTACAACCCATACACATTAACTTTCCTACAGCGTTTAACTTCGTTTATTCATTCATTCATTCGGCACACTGACTTCTGTGACTCTTTTAAATGGAAATGCTATAAACAGAAACCTTATCATTACCTTTGTGAAGGACAGTGTCTTCATATTTTACATTTCCATCATTCTCCACATTGTTGGCAGTCAAAAAGTATACTGCATTGTTTTACTTATTTGTTGTACTGTCACTTATGACAAACATTTAATTTGTTACTAAATGACATTTATAGTTTTGAACCTTCTTGTTTCTGTGTCCCCCACATGCGCTGGGTTCCCAGCATGCATTGACAATATGTGTGTATGCTTATCAAAGTGCCCTTGGGAAATGAAATAACATGAGAAACTCATTTGTTATTTTCCAGCAAACTTCATAACGTTCTCCCTGATTCTATCCTTTGGACAGATTTCTAGTTTATCTTATATGTGAGAAATGACCTTATAACCTGTGTGTGACAGTTGTTTGGATTTTATTAAGTGCCTTGCTAGCTGGCGATATGGGGGCATTACTCATAGATATTTGTTTGCTACCTCAGTAAGCCAAGAAAATTTATTTTTATATATTTAACTATGGTGTCTCTCTTTTCCTGCATGTCATTTAAAAGTAGTTCATGAAATAAAGGGAATGCTGCCAATTCTGCCTTTAGATATGGGAAAAAGAGATGGATTGTCATCATGGGTGCCAGAGGTGAAAACTTCGCTATATACACATCTTCTAGGACAAAGTCAGCTTGATGAAAATTATGTGTAAATTCAAACAGTAAAGAGTTTGTAGTCTCTTTCCATATGCAGAGGAGCAATCCGTTTTCTACCCATATTTCCCACACCCCCAGAATGCTTTCATGAAGCCATCCAGAGTTTACCTCTACAGAGAAGGAAGCCACTCCCATATAGTGGGGCAGGCTTTTGTTGCTGCATTTTAAACGATGACGTTTGAGTAGTTATTTCAAAGTTGTGGTGTGAAAATATTCCAAGATCAAGACAATTCATTAACTTTTCAAAGGCAGACTCTTAATCATCTACTGTCTTTTCATGTATTGCACTGAGACCCAAAGTAAGTGTTTTATTGGTGGATCTCACCTGTGGAATATAGGAAAATTTTAATAAAACTGTATTATTTAATATCACCCTGCATACTGACACCAGTACAAATATGATCATTATCCTTTCTTACAAAGGATTTGCATGTTAAACCCCACTTCTTTGGCAGTTAGAGGTGACATTTTGTTTAAGTACATGAGTAAGTGTAGAGTGAATTATTTTTTGTATCAGCATGGGGCTAGGCTAGCTCTAGCACTGGGTATTAGATCATCGTTCTCCTGCCCAGGCCTCTTCAATATTCAATTGGATTCAAAGATGCGTGGGGTGACTTACCTTTGTCCTTCCATTGGTTTGTTCATATTCACAGAGATGTGTGGAAACAAGGGCTAGCAGAAAACGGTCCCTGAGTGTGGTGGTAGGGAATGCCAAAGAGGCACATTACTTAGAAATTAATGGCAAGATTCTCGCTTCAGACAGGTTTGAAAACTTGGACAAATACCTCAGTTTCAGAATATTAAAATGGAGGCAGTAATACGAAAGATGTGTTGTGAAAATTGAATTAAAGGCAAATTGTTTGTGATAACGAAACATTGGAACAATGCGGATGGACATCAACAGGGTTGCTGTTGGGCAGACTATGCCCTGTCCCTCAATGGAGCAGTATGTCGCCGTAGCTAAGGCGCGGCTTGAAAGTAAATATAAACAGAAACAAATGCACCCAGCTCTATGCCAAATCGGAAACATAACCATGCAGAGAGAAAATAATAATTTCAAATGACTTTAGAACTCTGCATACATTTACTGGTATGTAAGAAACAAAAATAAAGAAGCAAAACAGTAAAACTTCAGTCAGTTTTACCACGAATATTGATAATTATTATGAAACTGTTTATTACTGTTGTATAGGGCAAGAGTCATATAATGTTAGGAAACAAAATTTGAAGTATAAGAGAAAATACATATAAGTATAAAAATCAAGGAAATGAAATAAAAACCTTGAAATGTTAGATTTTAAAGGAAAATATTTATATAAACTCATGATATGAAAAATATATATTTTTAAGCTTTGTCCATTGATGAAAACCTAGAATCACTGATACCCCAGGAACAATGAAATTCTTAGTGCACACATTTCAGTTTCTAAATATCTTTGACACTAAAAATTTCTTGGAGAAAGAGTTATTTCCAAGTTTAGGATTTTTTGGTACCGAAAAGTGAGAAAGTAATCAACAATAGCAAATTAAAAGGACATGAGAACCAATTTGAAAGGACTCCCGATGACCAGATTTGAAAAGTTTGATCATAATAAATAATGCAATGAAGTGAAAGTCCTTAAATAGATAAAAATTCATGAGTGTATATTGATGCTAACAGCAACAACAAAAAAGAAGCAAATGAATAAACCTTCACTTGACACCTTTGGAAAGTACTATTAAATCAACTCCTTTAGAAGTTGGTAATTAAAAGGAAAGAATTAAGCATTTATCCTTTTTTTTGTAGGACTATAGTTCAGGGTCAGCAAATAGATCTATTGATGAGGAAACTTTACAGAAGAATGCTGCCTGAAATGCAGAAGGAATGATATAACTTTCAAAATCATTGTTAACCCTCTAATGATTCAAGCAATCATTATCAATGGATGCTAATCCATTAGGCAAATGATTTTATGTAATGCCAATCAACTTGTAGATGGCTTGCTAGTCACAAAGGATCTCCTAATATGATGTAATATGCAGTATACGGCATCCCTTAGAAAATATTCTTTCCAAATGTGTTGCACTTGAATTCAATACCTATTCACAAAAGAATACTGGAGCTAGAGGAAGCAGTATAATGATACCAGGAAAAAACTGCAAAAGTCTGGACTACATCCATCAGCTCACTGGTTTGATCTAAACTTCCTGATGATTAAGCAGTTGGGGAAGCAGTCTCATGAATGGGGTACCACTGTGAAAGTGATTCATTTTAATTCCTCGGCTTATATATACTGTCTTGTTTCCTGGAACATGCTACCTTATGAGATACATGGGTTGCCATAGTCAAACAATGGAAGTACTCACAAATGGAACTCACATTAAACACTTAAGCATTTAATTTTAAAATAATGAAAACCAGAATATATTGAATTTGCCAGCTATACCTTGTTTTTAAAAAAGTGCTATTTTGGCTACCATATTCACAATTTAGATACGGTTATCAAATGATAATTATTTTGTCAAAACATCCTAAACATTCACAAATATCTGTTGAATTTATGTATTGGTAAGATATTAAAAACTACATAACATTTAGTAAGTATTTTGTTTTTATTATTGCGTGATTGTTGAGTCTTGTCATCATTACAATAGCAGGGCTTTAATAAAATGAGGCTTTGTCTTCATATTCTTTCTTAAAATTTTATTTTCTTTTATAATAGTATTATGTAACATAGTAAAACAATATATAAAAAATGTTAATGTTTGTATTTTTATCATAATATTTATACATGTGCATTATTATCCCCAGTGCATTTTAGGCCACATGGCTTCATGGTTTTTCACATGAAAAGATTTCCACTAACCCTTTTAAAATTTAGAATTCTATCTTCTGAGTTGTCCAGGTATCAGCAACCCTTATTTTGTATGTCTGTGTATGACACCTTTTCTTAAAATAAAGGTTTGTTCTTGAATGAAACAAAATCTCTGTGCCCCAAGAATTGCAATTACAAATAAATTTCTAAGGATGGATATCTAAACAGTCAATGATAATTTTAAATGAAGCCTAACTAATAAGAACTATTATGATTTCAAATGAGTCAACTATGAAAAAAGACAGGACAATAAATGAGATCCATATTAATGAATGTACAGTGATAAGGCTACTATTGCCAACACAAAGTCAACTTCATGCACATCAAGCATGTAGCTAATTTATATTTCATGCCCTTTATTAACTAACATCTAATGAGAATAACATTTTTCACTGTATCACATCAAATTCTTCTAATGTCTTCTCTGTTTTGCATGTGAGTTGCACCATTTCATAAAAGTTTCAGCAGTCTTTGACTCGCTAAATAAAGTTGTCACTCAAACCTCATTTCCTGTTTGAGTGCAGGGAAGCTGAATGGACAGAGTTAATTTTGCATATTGTCTCCACCTGATGAAGTCTCCAAGCGACCTTTGTCCTGTCACCTTTAATGGACTCTGTCTAATGGACTCATTAGTAAATTTCTTATCATTTTTAGGAGAAAGATGCAATCTCACAAAGCTGTCCTTCATACTTTTGGAAATTATTATAATTTATTCTTTAAACACATTCAAAAATTAGAACGAGGAGATTCTACTTTATTTGGGTACCATAATATTGTAACAATGACATGCTGATTACAATAAGGGGTCCAAGAATACTGTTTCATGCTGATTATTCACATTATATTCAAAACTAGTAGTTACAGTGAGCAACACTCTTCAACTCAATAGCTTAATATTACATCATACTCACAAAATTTGCAGCTGGGAAAATGGAGATTTTCTTGGCTTCATTTATCTATAAGTGCAGAAAACCTAATAATAAATGATTTCTTGATCCCATGCAGATCTCCCTAAGTTCATGCTATGGAGATGTAGGTTTTAATATTAGTTTGCATTGCAGTCCTGTAATGAGTACACATTTGTTACCTTGCACTACATCCTTCCTTCTCTGTCTCTTTCCCTCTGCTTTATGTGTTACTTTGGTTAATGAAATTCACATAGATGAATGGTAGAGGAGGAATAAGATGCATATTAGACAAGAATTTAATTCTGAAAATCTGAACAGCTTACTATTTTTGTTGTGTTTGCATGTGTTCTTATACCCTTAAGTGGTTTGTAATACCTTGCCACTCATAGGCCAATCATTTGAGAATTCTTGCTAACATTTTATCTGGCTATTTTTTTTTGAATTCCAACTTTTTAATGACTATTGCTTTCCTATTTGATAAGAAAAAATGTGCAATGTCAGTACTCTTGATAATTCTAGCACATCGTTCTTTTGCTTGAAAACATCCTTTGACTTTTCATTGTTCATTGTCTGATTCTAGTGTGTAATGAGAAAAGCTGGGGAGTGGAGACATAGAAGCTAACTGCTTTGCAACCTAAGGTAGGGTGTGTGGGGTGTGGTGTGTGTGGTGGGAGTGGTGGGAGTGGTGAGAGGAGGGCATAAAGCTATTTCCAGAGATCATGGTAAACGGAACCAGAAGGCATATACTTGAAGCCAAGGAGATCAGTGTGGGGTCTGAGTCATGAGATCAGGCAACTTGTTGGTAAGCTCACTGTCTCAGACATTTACTAGTTCCCTCTCTCAGGCTGCCGGAGAGAGCTAGCTAGTAAATGCCTGGACTTTCCAGGGTCCTGGAACAATTATCTTCAGTAGGCAATGAGTTTGTAGTTTGGAGAAATTCCAGAGGCAAAAGTGTAAAGACTACAGTGCTGATTTTTGTTTGTCTATTTGTTTAATAATTGGTTCACACCATTGCTTGAACAAACTCCCTCAAGGGGATTTCCAAAAACTGTCATCTGTCATCTTTGGTCCTTTAACAACTTGTCCTTTATAGCCCCTCCTCATGTAACAGAATTTTTGAACTTCTTGCTGTGCACAAAAGACATTTAGTTTCTTTCTGTTAGTGAGTCTTTGAATGCAGCACTTTCTCTGCCTAGTTCTCCACTTTTTGTCTGGCAAACTCTTACTCTTGTTCATGATGCAATCCATATGGCACCTCCTCTATGAGACTTTCCCTAGTAAAATCTTCCACAAGTCCATGTCCAGAGTTTACTCATTCTGGTATGTTCAGCACTCTATTAAAATATTTAACTTTCTTTCTTCAAATGTGTTAATTATTATCATTTGGAGACGTCATCAGGGTTAACCAAGGCTCAGTATCTCTTAACAACCAACATGGTTAACAGTTCTATTATAATCCCGGCATCCTTGGTTTTTCTACTAATATGAAGGCCAGGGCAGTGGCAGGAAACAAAACGTGAAGAAATGTTGCTAACTTTAGCCCTGTTAATTGGTATTATTATTATTTTACTATCTCTTTTGTCGCATTATACATATGTGCTGCCTTTCCTAAATGGAACAGACTCTGCCATAAATTTTAGAACACATTTCGAGCAGCTGAAATGTTTATTGCACTCAGTGTTTATGCAGTGCGCAGTGTAGGGAGTGTGAATGCAAAGAAGGAAAGGCGCAAACCACCATCTGGTAGTTGGAGAAGTCTGTGATGAGGGTAGCGAGCAGAGGCAGAATCTGAAAATGAGGAGGAATAGAAAGTGTCTATAATAGGACTGTTGAGAAGTAAAACTGGACAAATTAATGATTGCAGTGCTTTTAATGCTGATAGTAAAAGTAAATGCCTTTATTCAATAAATAGTTTAGTCTTTGCTGAGTCAGCAACTATGCTAGATACAAAGATGGAAAGTAGGAAAAATGAAATGTATTTCCTGACGTCATGGAACATTCTGCAAGGTAGAATTTACAATGACTGGCATGCAATGAAAAGTTGTCAGGGTTGCAAAGAAGTAGAAATATTTAGCCCATAATTAGGAGAACAATTAGTCAATCAAAATGTTCGAGAAATGAAAGACATGAATGAATCTGTAGCTGAGATTATTAAAAAGAATTATTTGTTGCATACATTCAAGAAACTAGCAGAAAGATTTAACATGTTGAGACATGATACACAAAAAATAGACTCAAAATTTTATGGATGAAAGCTGCGTCTGAGATGAAATATACATGGATGGAGTAAGCAGCAGATTAAACATTTACGAAGGAATATTAGTTAATTTGAGGAAATGACAACATAAACTATCCAGAATAAAACACAGAGAGAAAAAGGACTAAAAATATTCAGTCCTTTTAGACCATCAGTGATGAGCTTGAGAGAACCTTAAGCAGCCATATACACATGTGTTTTGAGTACATGAAGGAGATGCAAGAGAGAGATGTGGCCAAAAAATTTTGAAGAATAATGGGCAAAATGTTCAAATTTGATAAAAAGGTAAACTGACTAAGGAAGGTCACCAAACCTGAAGCACAAGAATCATGAAGAAAACTACACTGATTCTTCATAATCAAATAATTTAAAACTATAATGAGAGAGTCTTAGAAGCAGCCAGAGAAAGAAAGGTGTTTTACGTAGAGAGAAACAATGGCAGCAGGGTTTACCTGTGAAAGAACACAAGCTAGAAGACTGTAGTGCGTCATTCAAAGAAAGAAAAGAGAAACTTGTCAAACTAAAAGTTTTTATTTAGTAAAAATGTTTATCAAACATGAAGGTGACAACCCTTAAGAATAGGTACAAGAGAAATAAAACATACATCTGAACAGAGACCTGTACAGAAATGTTTATAGGAACATTCTTCACAAGTAAGTGAAGAAAGACTGTAAACAACCCAGATGTTTATTAACTAGTGAAAGAGAAAATTAGATGTGGTGTTTGCATATGATGAAATAATATTCTGCGGCTGGGTACGGTGTCTCATGCCTGTAATCCCAGCACTTTGGGAGGCAGAGGCAGGTAGATCACCTGAGGTCAGGATTTTGAGACCAGCCTGGCCAACATGGCAAAACTCCATCTCTACTAAAAATACAAAAAATTAGCTGGGCATGGTGGCGGGTGCCTGTAATCCCAGCTACTTGGAAGGCTGAGGCAGGAGAATTGCTGAACCTGGAAGGCGGAGGTTGCAGTGAGCCAAGATTGCGCCATAGCACTCCAGCCTGGGCAACAGTGAGACTCTGTCTAAAAAAATAAAAAATAAAAAGAAAGAAAGAATATTCTGCAGTTAAAGGCATGAACTATATTTACACACTTCAATATTAAGTAATCTCAAAAACATTATGCTCTATGAAAGAAGGCAGATATAAAAGATTATATATTGTTTATTTCATTTTTATAAGCTGTAGAGAAGGAGCAACTTCTACTTATATGGAGTATCTAAAATAGTCAATCTCATAGAAACAGAGAGTAGAATGGTACCTGCCAAGAGATGATGGAAGGGGAAAGAGGTAGTTGCTGTTCAGTGGGTATACAGTTACGCAAAGTAAGTTCTAGAGATTAATTGTGCAGTGTGTCTGTGGTTAACAATGTGTATGTATTGTATGCTTAAAAAATTGTCCTGCCTATTTCTTTAATGTAATTAGAGAGGATGGGATCTGTTTTCCCCCAACATACCATTCTCTGAATTCTGTTTTTCTTCCAAGAACTTGAAAATGCTTGATTTTAAAAGCTGCGAAATACTACAGAAGTGCATGCATGCATCTTCGTTATATGTTGCAAAACACTGGTATAATGACTGGCTAATCTGATGCTTGAAAGTGACTATCAAAATGACTTAAAACATTTCTCCTGAGTGAATACCAGGAAAGGACTGGTTGACACATATGGTAGGTTATACATTTAACTTTATAAGAAACTATGAAGCAGTTTTTCAAAGTGGTTGTACTGTTTTACATTCCTACCAGCAGTATATGAAAGTTCCAATTATTACACCAAATGGCATGAAAACTTTGAACAGCCAGATGGCTTAACTAGAGATGTACACATACACACACATTTACAACTGGTGGAAAAACTTAAAAGTCCAATGCTATCCCAACACTTTGGGAGGCTGAGACAGGTGGATCACAAGGTCAGGAGATTGAGACCATCCTGGCTTATACAGTGAAACCCCGCCTCTACTAAAAATACAAAAAATTAGCTGGGCCTGTTGGCATGCACCTGTAGTCCCAGCTACTTGGGAGGCTGAGGCCTGGGAGATTCACTTGAACCTGGGAGGCAGAGTGAGAGGTTGCAGTGAGCAGAGATCGTGCCACTGCACTCCAGCCTGGGCGACAGAGAGAGACTGTGTCTTCAAAAACAAAGAAACGAATTCAATGCTGTATATGATGTTGTATATTAAGCACATAGGTCATTTTAGAAAGTGCTAGTTTGGTTGACTGGAGTAAGGAATTCAGTGACCAGTCACATTAATATAGTAAATGGAAGGTGATGGGAATTAAAATGAAGACAGCTGGACTAGGAAAGACCAGGAAGAAAAAAATAGGAAACTCCAGAAATAACCTGAAAGATGGAACTAATTTGATGTGGGATACAAGGAGGGGAAAGAATGAAAAATAATTCTGAGGTTTGGGGCTATGGCACCGAAAAGGGGTATTTATAATGTCAAAAAATGTCAGGAGGAGACTGTTTGAGGTCAAGATGGGAGAAAGACACATATTGTTCATAGTATTTTACAAAACGGATACATATTGTTTATAGTGTTTTAATAAAGATTTCTAGCTGGCAGGCCTGGAACTTAGAAGAGAGTTTAGGGTGGGAGAACAGATTTGGGGAGTCATGTCCACAGCACTGTAGTGGAAGAGGTGGGAAGTTGTTGAGATCGCACAGGGAAAAATGTGGAGAACTAAGCTCTATGACAGAACATTAAGTAACACTTATATTTATGAAACTAGAGGAAAAGCAACCAGCAACCACAGCAAGAGACAACAAAGAGAAAAAGAAAATTCGGTTGGTGGGCTTCTAGGGGATCTAAGGAAGGAGAAAAACCACGTCAACTCTATGCTTTAGAAGCCTGTATTTAATACGCTTTGCAAAAGGATTTGATGGAAAACAATACAATTCATGATATTCAGTAGCTTTTTTTTTAAGTTTAAAAGAAACAGTGATTATCTCTAAATGAGGCAGGAAAATGGCCACTGAGCTTAGGTAATGAGTTTCTCAGCATTTTGATCTGGAGTTGTTTACAACTTAGCAATCAAGGAAGTGTTCAAATAAACAATGACTCATGGCTGACTGAGACCTTGTAGCCAACCTCACACAGAGTGAAGGGCTTAATCTTTTATCAGAGTGAAAAAATATAGTGCCATATTACTAAGAGATAATTATTTGGTTCATAACATTTTGATTAATAATTATAAATAGCGATCACAATTAAAACCATAGTCTCTAAGGTAGAGGATCATCTAATGATAAAAATATTTACTGACTCAGCTTTATCACCAATGGTGCACACTAGAGAATTGCCAGCAGCCTGCATTTTGCCTCAAGCTGTGTAGTTACCCCAGAGCAGATACTAATTTAAGATGTTACTGCTTAT